AGAGAGAGAGAGAGAGAGAGAGAGAGAGAGAGAGAGAGAGAGAGAGAGAGAGAGAGTGATACATGCCCGGGGGCAATGTATGTAGAGCCAAGGATCTGCAATGTGATAAAACGGACCGAATGGACAATGCAATGTCAGAGGAACCTCAACAAGCAATGTACACCCTGACACATACAAAATGGCACATAGTAGCGCGGCGGAAGACTTCAAGATAAGTCCTGACCTGACCGGGACTGACACGACATCCCATCATACATCACACATGTGAGAGGAGGAGGAGGGACCGCACACAAAGAAGAAAGGTCCCTCCTTGTACACGCACATGGGGAGATACCACAGATGTGAGATGGGGGGAGAGGAGAGACGAAGATGGAGGCGAGGGACAAGTCCAAGATCGCAATAGCGATGTCCAAAAACAGTCCCTTGCCGATGTCCAATCAATGTCTGTCTCAGAAATGTCGAACCAGATCCTGGGCGCAATGCCCACTGTAACCTCTGCCGATATCTTCTGCCTGTAACCTCTCTCACTCTCGTATCTGAAGAAGAAGAAGGAGGAAGGAGGAAAGAGGAAGAGAGAGAGAGAGAGAGAGAGAGAGAGAGAGAGAGAGAGAGAGAGAGAGAGAGAGAGAGAGAGAGAGAGAGAGAGAGACGAGATGGAGGACGAGGAGGAGGAAGAAGAATGCCGTCCTCCTCGCTGTCTCACCTGGAGGTAGCTGCCACTGTACTGACCGTTGTGTTGCTCTGTGCAGGTACCGCGTGGAGTTCCCAGCTATGGCGCCAGGTACGTTCTCCGCTACAGGTAGGCCTCCGCCTCTCTCTACCTCCTACACCTCTACTCCCCAGCTTCACAGCGCAGCGCCAGAATAGCGCAGCCTCCAACCAGCAGCGTGTCGCTCAAGAAGTGAGCTACCCGAACTGTCCGTTGCCCAGCCGGTGCCCAGCTATATGCAGCACTGGGCGGGGCTGGGTCTGCCTGGTGCTGGCCTCAAAAACGGCCCAGCCGCTCTGGGTCCCTACCGGACGTCCAGACCATGCTGCTGATGCAGCAAGGCGCGAAAACAAGTCTGGCCTCCTTAGGCCCTGCCTCTGGTGTACCCAGTCCCAAGGTCGTGCCTCGGGGACTGCAAGTCCGAAACGACACCTGCACAGACAACGAAGGGGTAGCAGGTAACTAACTAACTAACTAACTAACTAACTAACTAAATAAATAAATGCCCCCTATATTCGCCATCTGCGGCCTAGGGGCCGCCGTGGGCCTCCAGGGCGCATGTCTGATGGGCATGCGGCCTGGGGGCCCCTCAGCACCCGTCGGGCCCCTCAAATGGGGCCCGTGTGCAGGCGCAGCATGTAACACAGAGAGAGAGAGAGAGAGAGAGAGAGAGAGAGAGAGAGAGAGNGAGAGAGAGAGAGAGAGAGAGAGAGAGAGAGAGAGAGAGAGAGAGAGAGAGAGAGAGAGAGAGAGAGAGAGAGAGAGAGAGAGAGAGAGGAAGAATGTGAGAGAGAGCCACAGAGAGAGAGAGAGAGAGAGAGAGAGAGAGAGAGAGAGAGAGAGAGAGAGAGAGAGAGAAGGGCTGAAGTAGGAATAACTTTTTCAACTTATTAATTTATTGTTGGGTGCAATACACCTCGTTGTGCCCCCAAATCGTTGTAATAATCTCCATCACTTATTTGAGCATACCTCCCCTTTCCAGCTTTTCACTTCTTTCCCCTTACCCCTTGACCGGCCCCCCCTTGACTACCCTTCCCCCCCCCCTTCTCCCTTTTATCCATCTGACCTGGTTCTTGGCACCCTTTGTTTACTGTGCCCAACCCCATTTCCAATAGTCAATCCTATTTTCTTCTTCTTTTTTTTTTTTTTTTTTTTTTTAATTTAAACTTCAAAGTGATTTGGAGCATTTGCTGCGTTTCTCAATTCACGTGTGCCATCCTTGCGCAGGGGCTGTGCTATTTAAACCACCAGTACTTGGCCCAGCTACCGGCCGCGGTAAAAAATAGAGTAGAAACATTTCTAGTCGGATGAATTTGGTCGCTCCTGTAGTGGCCCGTACGTTTCCTAAGATCGCTGCTCGTTAATGTGCACACCTCTAGGAATTATTGGTGCTTTCATCTTCTCTCTATCGTTCCAATCCACTTGTTTTCCTTTTTTTCTTTTCTTTTCTTTTCTTTTTTTTTTGGTCCATTTCTCGAGTTATGCGTGTCATCCTTGCGCAGGGTCCATTTGCTAATTTACCCTTCTGTGTATCGTTCCAATCCAATGTTAACGACTGTCCCCAACGCCTTTCCTTCCGTGATTACGTCTGTTCTAGACTTCGTTCATCTTTCTACTCGGCACTTCCCAGGTACCGCATCCCATATGCATGTTCTTTTTCTCCTCGCCTGCAGTCGATATGATTCCTTTTTTTTTTTTTTTTTTTTTTTTTTTTTTTTTTTTTAATTTTAGCCCGAGAGGGGCTTTGTCCCTTTCCAATCGGTACTTCCAAGGGTACAGAACCCCGTCCTTAGAATCTTTCTAATCGGTACTCTCAAGGGACCGCATTAGATCGGTACTCTCCAAGGGACCGCAGTCGATCGGTACTCTCAAGGGACCGCAGTACATCGACATCGTCAGGAGCATAAAAGACTTTATGGCTACGTCGAAATTTGAATGTGCTGTTTTCGCCTCGGCCGGCATTACCCTTCTTCCCCCCCCCCCCCCCCCTCTTTCCCCCCCTGACGAGTGAAAAAAAAAAAAAAAAAAAGAACAACCCTTACGAAGGTGGACTGTGGATCGGCAGAAATAAAGGGGTCGATTCTTCGCCACTCTCGCACGCTCCTGTTTTTTTTATCCTTCCGTCGGAACACCTGCGAGAGAGTCGTTAGACAATACATACTATTGATCGTCTTGTTTATGCTTTTGTCTCTTGCTTCTTTATGATTTTGTAACCTCTATTGTGACGATGAGAGTCGTGAGACATTATATGCTATTGTGACGCCCGCCAGTCTCGTGCTCCCTGTCTGAAAAAAGTTCCTTTTTTTTCAGATATGACGTACTGATCCGGGATCAGAGATCAGTACGTCATATCTGAAACAAGGAACTTTTGTTTACACAATTACAGACGACGTGGGATTGGGCAAATGCTTGAAACACCACGCTTGGGCGAATAATCGGCCATAGCTGGATTTTCTCGTTTTTTTTTGGGTGGGGTGGGGTGGGGTGGGGTGGGGGCAATTGCGAAAATTAACCGCTATGCCCCCCCCCCAAAAAAAACAAAAACGAGAACATCCAACTGTTTATGATTTTGTCTCTTGCTGCAGCAACCGTTGCCACCAGCAATTCACCGTGGGAGGCTGGCTTGTTTATGATTCTGTCTCTTGCTTCAAGTTATTCCATGGTGTTCGTCTATCGTACGGACGGTCGAGGCAAACACGGCAGCAACGGGGAATTGCTGGTGGCGACGGTAATCAACTCCTAGATGAGCACGATCGCTATCCTTACCCTAATTCATCCATTCGATAAGGATCTTAAATCGAAAGCTTAATATTCTCTTCTTCCTTATCATAACACGCATCGGTACGACAACCACTACCAAACAACGTACTCATCATCTCATTCTATCTACTCGTCCTCACGATGACGTGGTCATCATCATCATCATCATCATCATCATCATCATCATCATCATCAATCAATCATCAATCAATCATAATCAATCATCATCAATCATCATCAATGATCATCAATGATCATCAATCATCAATCAATCATCATCATCATCATTACCTCCAGCGTGATCATTAATCTCATCATCATTACCTCCAGCGTCATCATTGACATCAGATGCCAACCCTAAATCCTTCCCCCCCCCGGCAATCCTTCAAGCCCTAAACCCTTAAACCCATATAACTAGTTACTCTCGTAAGCTCTCGAAATCAGGGTTCACGTTAGATATACATATGAATAGATTGGATGAACAAAATGATGACATACTTGACAAGGTACACGGACCGAACAACTCTCCTCTCCTCTCTTCTCCTCTCCTTGTTGGAGTTATAAGCGAGTACTTTGATCAGCCCTGCCCGTCCTAAGGACGATGAGAGTCGTGAGACATGACATGCTATTGTGACGCGTTTGCAATTTAGAGCGCGCCGCGACTGATTGTCACTCAACAACACGGCTCAAAGGGACGCGGCGGGACGACATCAATATCCTTAACAACAACAAAGTAACTGACAGTGCGTGCTACCGTAGCACTAGTCAATCAAATCATAATCATAAAATACCGTAGCACTAATCAATCAAATCATAATCATAAAATAACTTCTCCTCACCAGAGTAACGTTCACAGTAATAACACAAAGTAAAGCAATTTGATTCAGCGAAGAGGAGCTGCAACACAACGAGGACGACGACGACGACGAAAACGACGAAAACGACGAGAAGAAGAGGTCCAAGAAGAAGGACAACAAGAAGAACAAAAAGAAAGACAAAAAGAAAGACAAAAAGGAAAGAAGAAATGATAACGATGACAATGATTCTAAGGCTACGACGACGACGACGAAAGAAGAAGAAGAAGAAGAAGAAGAAGAAGAAGAAGAGGAAGAAGAAGAAGAAGAGGAAGAAGAAGAAGAAGAAGAAGAAGAAGGAGAAGAAGAAGAAGGAGGAGAAGGAGGAGAAGAAGAAGAAGGAAGAGGAGCGAAGGACGAGGAGGAGGGAAACCGCAATCATTTATTGCAAATAAAAATGAAGGTAGTAGACGTTTGAAAGTGTGCTCACCAGAATGTCAATAAGAGTCTGATGGAAAATGGATAGCGCTCCAACGGAGAGCAGCAGGAGCAGGAACATGGGCGGCTGCCCACGCGCAGTCCGGATTCCTCTTTTGGTTAATCGAGCGGGGGAGTGCGCCACCGAGTTCAACTTTGAGCTTGAGCTTGCGCTTGCGCTCGCGCTCGCGCATGAGCATAAGCTACAGCTGCCGCCGCAGGCGGAGCTGGAGCTGGTGCAGCTGCTACCACACATCCTCTCTGCCATCTCAGAAATCGGTGAAAAGCCGCAACAACTACCGCTCGCTTTCTTCAATCCAATCGATTGCCACACATCCATTCCCTTTCCCTTTCCCTTTCCCTTGCCCACTCCTCCCATTCCCATCCCCGTCAACGGCCCGGGAGTTAATCTGCGAAAAAGACGGGTACAATAGCACGACCAGGTCATACCTAACACGCAAAGGCCAACCTCAACAACCTACAAAGCCCGTTGCAGTTGCCTTCATACCCCTGCAAAGCCCCTCGCAGTTCCCTTCCTTACCCTGCAAAAATGCCAACCTTGACAACCTACAATCCCCTTCATACCCCTGCAAAGCCTCTCGCAGTTCGCTCCATACCCCTGCAAAGTCTCTCGCAGTTCGCTCCATACCCCTGCAAAGTCTCTTGCAGTTCCCCTCATACACCTGTAAAAACGCCGACCTCAACAACCTACAATCCCCTTCATACCCCTGCAAAGCCCCTTGCAGTTCCCTTCATACCCCTGCAAAATTGCCAACCTTGACAACCTACAATCCCCTCCATACCCGTGCAAAGAAGTCTCTTGCAGTTCGCTCCATACCCCGGCAGAGTTTCTTGCAGTTCCCTTACTACCCCTGCAAAAATGCCAACCTCAACAACCTACAGTTGCCTTCATACCCCTGCAAAGTCCCTTGCAATTCGCTTCATACCCCTGCAAAAATGCCAACCTCAACAAACCTCCTAGACAAAACCAAAAGTGCAAATCACACTGTTCAAGCCAAAGACGTAACTGCACTTCAGTCAGTTTAGTTCAGTTTAGTTCAGTTTAGTTCAGTTTAGGTCAGCATAGGTCAGTTTAGGTCAGTTTAGATCAGTTTAGGTCAGCTTAATTCAGTTTAGTACAGTTTAGTTCGGCTAAATTTTTCTCCTCTCTCCCCTCGCCTCCTGAAAAACGCCCCGCAGTTCTTCTTCACACCCCTGTAAACCCCCTCTGCAGAGTTCGTCATACCCCTGCAAAATCCCGTCTGCCAGACTTGCCCCTTCCCTTCCCCGCACCTTCAAAGACCCTTTAGACTACACCCCTACTCTAAACTCTCTCTCTCTCTCTCTCTCTCTCTCTCTCTCTCTCTCTCTCTCTCTCTCTCTCTCCCCGTCGAAAGACCCCAGCGATTGCCTTCCAGCGCATTTTAATAATTTTGATAAAGCACCCTGAAGTTCCATTTTAGCACCCTCGATCTACAGCAACACCACCCCCCCCCCCTTGCAGTTTCCCTTGTAGACCCCCTTTCCCGCCTTTCGACTCTCCCCCCTCCTCTGCACTTTTCACCCTCCCTAACACAACTCCGTCTCTTCCTAAAATACCATTCTGTACATCCGTAATCAAGCACACTTGGCCTCTGCAGAGCTGACGTCCAGAACCCCCTTTGGATTCATCGCCCCCCTGATTACACCATCTGCCCTCAAGCTCTCTCCTCTCTGGTTACAGCATTTAGCCCCAAACTCTCCCCTCCCCCACCCCTCGGCAGTGAGTACACCATCTACCCCCAAACTCTCTGCCCCCCTCCCTCCCCTTCTCCATCCCACACTCCTTTCTCTCTCGCTCATCGCCAGCTGCACCTGCTCCTCTGGGAGGTCTGCACCTGGCTCCAAAGTCATCCCGCAACGATCTTCCAGAAATGAACGGTTACCAATTTGCCACGTCATCTATCATGATCTGCCGGCTCTGCCCTCTTAACTCCGATTGCTTCGAAGCGAACTGAGGGCATACTCACGCGATGACTTCTTTACTTATTTATGGACGTAATTGCCGTTAGATGCATCCACGTGCGGCCGTAAATGCGGTCAGATACATGTAAGATAGAGATATTGTGAGTACGCCCTGAGAGAGACATCGTCCGCGTCACACTGCCACGTCCGAGAGACTGCCACGTCACACAGTGCCACGTCAGAGAGAGTGCCTCGATGCATGTAACAGCAATTACGTCACACAGTGCCACGTCATTTAATTAACGAGAACGGCACAGCCAACGACGCCAAATGCGCACATTGGGCCTCGCTCCTCTACTCAACATTCCACACGTACAGGGACTGTTTAGGGACCAGATACATTTCGACTGACCGAACGTTTTGAATGCATCGGGACCATTTCCGGTTCAGATTCATTTACTAGAATGTTGTGCAGTGCACCGATGAGGCCCATTGTCACGTCGTTACCGCGTTGTTGGGTACATTGTGTTTGTGCATGCTTTCCGGCGCCTCAGAGCCACACCACGGGAATATTCTTTTTTTTTTTTTTTTTTTTTTAAGCAAAGAAGATTTGTATTCCCAAACGAAAAGTATCCAGAGGCCGGGGACCTCACAATTCAACCCGGAGTTATCCCGGCAGCATCAGCCGGTTTAGCTTATGAATCAATCCTCTTGGAGATCAATAACATCGTATCTGTTAACCAATCTCCTGAGTCTCTCACCAAAAAGCACCGCTCCTCTTACGCTTCATCTACATGTTCCACCAAGATACCTACAACTGTTATTTCCGTCAATCATTCCACATCCCAACCTCAGATCTAAACTATCTAATAGACGTATCAGAAAAGCTCATTATCTACGCTGTTCGTGAGACACCACACACAGGCCTAACCACGGCCTCAGAGTAGACACTCTCCACCCACCTCCCCTGTACTGGCTACTGCGCCAGTCTACGGGAACCGAGTGCCCTGGTTCATTGTGACCTGAAGGAAAGGGGGGAAGAGACTGAAGACTAAGAAGAAGACTAGCAGAGAAGAGAGATGCTGAGGAGAGAGTCCGATTATGACCTAAGCCACGAGGAGATGACCATTTCACCCTCCAGAGTTACTGCCGCCAACTTGTTATCCCTTGCCCAAGTGACGAGGAACCAGTGCCTTCCTCTGGGGGTATGCCCCCTTGCTGCTCTCCTGACCCAGTCAACTTGGATCATCGTCCGTATCCAAGCTTTGATTTTTTGGATCAGCGTGCAGTCGTTAGACCATTCTTCTTGGAAGAGAATGTTGTTTCTATCCTCCCAGATGGTCCAGATGATGACAGAGCGAATAGCCTGGGCGACATATCCCCTTCCTATAAATTTGAACCAAGTGTCAGGGATTCTTCCTTGCATAGCCCAATCCTCATCCCAGGCTAAAATGGGTCCCACGAATCTGAGCCAATGAGACTCCCACCACTTCCAAATGCGGCGTGAGGCTGGACATTCCCAAAAAAGGTGCTGCAGAGTTTCTTCCTGTCTTCTCCCACAACGTCGGCATTTCGTTTCAATCTCCATGCCCCTCTCGAAGAGCCAAACAGCACTCGGTACTGCAGAGTGAGAGATTAGCCACAACAGCCCTGAGAGCTTCAGGGAAGGAAGAGAAGAGAGCTGAGCCCACAGAGTTCTAAGATGTCCATCTGAGATGGGTGTTGCTGCAGTGGAGCACCTGTTAGCTCTGTTGGCCACTTCAGTAGGCAAAGTACTGGAGTTGCCAAGCAGAGCTCGACCCAGCTGGGTCGAGTAGTGTGAGAGGTATCTCCTTTGCCCGGTGGGAAGTTTCCAGTATCTAGCTTGAGGATCAATTATCTGCTCCCTCACCGGTCTCCCTGCCTGCAGTAGCTGATATGTACATTGATTAGGAGCTCTGGAGCTGGTGGCTACTCGTATTAGTTGTAGATTACCGGCCTCCCGGATGGAGATTGCCCCTTGGAGTTGCAGATTGCCTGCTGTAGAGTGAACGGGGGTCTGCCATTCCTCCGCCTGCCACGTACCATCTTCCTGCTGTTCGATGATCCGTAAGGCCGAGTAATGCTCCACGTCTTCGGAGTTCCAGTACCATTCCCCTTCCTCCAAGCTTGGTGTCAGGAGTTTTTCCTTCCAGTCCTGAGGGATTGCATCCGCCAACAACTGTCTCCTTTCCCGAATGGAATGCAGGTTGCCTAATACCTGTTTCAGACCGTTGATAGATAACCAGTTAGCCTCTCCTTCATCCCACAGATCTTCAATCCGCACAATGCCCTTCTCCACCCACCTTCTGCCAAAGTTGCCTGACGCAGCAGTTGCTGAGAAGACCTCCCCTATGTTCGTGATCTGCGGGTTGTCAAACAGCACTTGCCGCAGCACCTCCTCTCGTGTTGTTGGGTCTTTTTGATATGGTGGGGCCAGGGCTCGCCACGCCGTCCAACATGCCCTTGCCAGTGGTGAGCTCAGGTGCCTTCGTGTCATTGAAGGGATGAACACGCAGGCCCAGCCATCGCTTCTTCTGGTGACAGAGAGTTCTTGCTGCAGAATATATTCTAGGACTAAGATCCATGCGCGACGCTCTGCTTGCAACGCTGCTTTAACCAACCACTTCATGAGGAGAGCCAAGTTTTGGCTTTCCGGGTCAAGGACTCCCAGACCCCCGTCCTCCTTGGGTGCGGTCCACCTTGATCCAGGCACACTTGGAGATATACCGCTGACCGTCCTGTGCTGCCGGCTTGCACAAATATCTGGCCGCAGCAGCTACGATTTGCTTGAGAGCCGATTTGGAAATCAAGAATATTGCGGCGGCAAACCACAGCTGCACGAAAACTACGGAAGTGATAATCATTGCCCTTCCAAAAAGTGACAGCGCAATTGCAGTAGTGCATCTTTGGAGGCTGGCTTGCGTTCTTGCGATCAAGATTGAGTCTTGCTTGGGTCGTGGATCCTGCAGGCCTACTTGAACGCCCAAGTACCGCTCTGAGAGAGTTGGGGAAATGCGTTTCATGCCCCAGTCCCGTCCTTGCAGGTCGTATCTAGCTGGGAGGAAGTAGACCGACTTGCCCCAATTGACCCGAGCCTCCGACAGTGTGGCATACTGGTCCAGGATGAGTTTAGCCTCCTGCATTGACTGTGGAGTTGACTCCATCACAAGTAATAAATCGTCGGCTATTGCTCTTGTTAGAAGACGGTCTTGTGTCCCCAAGTCCAGTCCTTGAATGCGCGGCGAGGCTCGAAGAGCATTGAGGAAAACCTCTATTTGCAGGGCAAACAGGAGAGATGCCAAAGGACAGCCCTGTCTCAGCGAGCGCGTGAGCGAAAAGGCTGAGGATAGAAAGTCGTTGACACTAACAGTGGCGGTAGAGTCTGCATAAAGCTCCTTAACCCATCGGCGGAACATCGGGCCAAAGCCTGTGTGCTCCAGAGTTGCCAAAACAAAGGACCAATTGACGCGATCGTAGGCCTTCTCCAGGTCCAGCATGGCCACTATGACTTGCCGCTGCTCTTTCTGGATTATCTCTAATACTCCCACCGCCATCATAATGTTCTCGGCAATGGAACGTCCTTGTACGAAGGCGCCTTGGTCGGTATGGA